CAGATGATACATAGCATAAAGAGCTACTTGATATATATACACATTTTTGGAAGAATAATCTGGCTTGACAGACAATAGATTCTTTCTTTTAGAAGTGGTATTTCTTCTATTTCTTGTAATTTTCCTTTTGTGATATTTTCTTTGGGCTTGTAATTAGAATTTGACTTGACTTCATGATTATTCTTCTGACTTCTTTGTTTATGTCTTGAGTCTTTTGTTTTGTTATCAGTTACTGAATTAGGCAAAGCTAGTTTCTATCTTTCTTTTGGATTCTTTTATTCACTTCATCTCTGCTGTATTCACAATCAAAATCAATTTTGTCCCAGCTGTTTTTATTTATAAATACTTCCTATACTGATCTAATATATTTGTCTTTATTTAACATTCCTTCTATATTCATAATTCATTCTTTAGTTAAGTCCTCTGGTACCTTGAAGGCTGGTGCCTTTGCACAGAAGGATTTATTATCTACATATACTCTGTTAATTGGTGACCAAATACTTTGTTCTATTGAGTCACCTGTTTCAAAGTATTTGTTTTTATCTTCCTGCTCGCTTTCTTTTGCTACATTTTGGGTTTGAAGTTTTCTAATACATCTTGTAGAATACTGTCTATGGGGCCTCTTCATTCTTTTTGGTCTTTTTGCTTTTAGAATTTCTTTCATCAGAAACTTTACTTGAATTTTTATTGGCAGCTTGTAGAGCTTTCTTTGTTTCTTCATATTTACTTTCAGTGTTTATATCTATGCATTCTACTTGTTGAGAAAGACTTTCTATGCTTATCTCTTTTCTTAATACCTTTCCTCAGAATCTTCATCTTGTCTATGCTTTTTTGACTCTATTGATATAGATTTCTCTTTTTTTCGATCTTTATTATACCTTCCATTTTGTTCATCTCTTTTTGAATTTCTTTCTTGCTTATTTCTACCATATATTTGATAGACTTGGGTTTTGGTTAACCTATTTTGCTTTTTCTGTCCATTGTTCAATCTCTTTTTCTAGATATCCTCTAAGTTCAGCCCTTTGTAGAGACCCAACTAAATGGCCATACACTAATACTTCTATTGATACAATCTTACTTTCATCTTCTATTGTTAATGTCTTGGCTATATGCTTGATATTGCTCAGATTATTGAGTGTTACTTCTTTAATAGATTCGTTAAGTTGTTTACTCAATATATACTTGCTGCAATTACATTTCTGCTCCAAATAAAATCTAAAATATTTATTTCTAATATCTTCATATAGATACTAAACTTTAATATATTTCTTAATAATAGTTTCTAGATTGTTGTTATATATTCTATATTTACTTTAGTGTGTTTTCTAGATTAATCTACTTCTATTTATTGTTATAGATCATGTTTGCAGTATTTGTTTGTTGATGTTGTTACTGATTATGTAGTGATTGTTGTTGTTGTTTCTAATTGTTAGTGTATTCTAAAATAAGATATATTTATTTATTTGTTTATTGTTGCTGTTTATTGTTATTTCCTAAAATAAAATGTAGTTATTTTGTTTGTTTGTTGTTTTGGTGATCTCTTGTTATGCATCTTATATTGTTAGATTTACAGAATCTAAAACAATTCCCAAATTCCCCAAATTTTCATTGAAAAAAATGAAGAGTGTTAAAATTTTCTTTAAGTTTAGTTGTATTCAAGTTCTTGCATTAAGTAATTTTTTGTGCTGAATATTTTTCTTTAATATTACAACGGACGTTTTCTATATCTATTGTTGCTAAAACTCTTGTTTTTTACTTTGGCAAATTTTAAAATTGATGATTAGCAGAGAGAGTCAGATCTGATAATAAGAATTATGTATTGATATTTAAATACAATTTATAATATATTATATACTTACTTCTATAAATAATCATCACTGCTTTCTATTTTAGTAATAATAATAGCAGCAATATTTTTAGCTATCATATCTGAAGTTATATCTACATTAATAAACAAATAAGGCTAATAAACTGCTATACTCATTGGGTGTTAATTCATTAATTTTTTGTTCAATAAGATTTTCTATATTAAGACAATCAATTTCAACATATGTAATATTATTAATATTTGCTTCTGGTATAGTATCATAGTTAATATTCTCAGATTGTCTAACTGATTCAATAACTAAATTTGTAATTTTTCTCTTTAGAGTTTCCAATACTATTATCTTTGCAAATTCTATAAGTTTTAAAATCAAATACTTTGCCAAATAAACTTGTCTTTGAGGTGATTGTATTTATAATTTGTACAGTATATATTTTGCAAATAAAGTGTTGGTAATATTTAAATATTATATTCATGTTGTTATAGAACAGTTTATTATTTTATTAGTTTATTATTCCGATATTGTATTTTATTATTTATTTTATTATTA